TTAAAAATCGTTCTGAATCGATTAACGAGGATTAGGCACTGATTCTATCTCTCAGCTACCTGTACTCGCTTTTCACGGCACCCCTCCCCCGTGACACGCGTCGTCACTGTCGTCAGTCCGTCGGAAGCTCTCGAATGACGCCGTCGTCGGATGTTTCTATTATCTAATTTGTTGTGAAAAACACTACTTATATATGAATAAATAGATATTTTTTCTTATGAATAAATAGATTAGTTTTTTTTTTATCAAAAAAACTTTATTTATGCGAGTACTATTTATTGTTGGCGAGAAAAAATTTTATGGCTCTTTAAAAACTTTGAAATTTTGTAAATTGTAATTTTGGCTTTTCCGACTCAAAAGGTTGCCGACCCCTGTTGTATTACAAATTTTTTTCAATGAAAAGGGTTAAATTTTAAGTAGAATAGAAAATGCATATATATATATATATATTTTTTTTAATCAAGAGGCTAGACACTTTATATCATCAGATATAGAATATACAATAGTTTTGAGTTATTATTTATTTCTATTTAATATTTTAAAATTAATTAATTTTTTTCATCTAAAACAGAATAAATCTCTTTGAAGAAATCTTTAAACAACTTAAAGTTATAATCAGTCATTTTTGTCTCAATCCATATGGAATGGGCTTGATGTAAAGCCTGTAAATTTCCCAGTTTCATAAATAATTTATAATAGAATTCCTAAATTTTAACTATATTAAATACCATGTTTTCAGTGATGACAATGAACTTCTACATAAATTTGATAGCTATCTTACTCAATAAGAATATTTTTTTCTATTATCTCTAGTTTGTAAAAAGTCTTTTATATTACTGACTACATTCTGTTTAAATTTATAATTTTTAGTGTCAATCTATAAAATACATATTAATTTATGATAGAAATTTAGAAAGTAAAAAATTTTAAATTATTTTTTAAAATGAATTGTTGAAAAATAAAATATTAATAAAAAAAATTACTATTATATATTTATGTATCTTTAGAGTGGAAAATTAAGATTAAAAGATCTTGAAATGACAGAACATATTGGAATTATAGATGCAACACTTTCTTGTTTGGTAAGATATTGCTTTGTTTTTAATTTTGATTTTATTTTTCAATACTAATATAATTTAATTTAAGGTTACATGGTTAGAAGGACATTCTCTTGCTCAAACTGTATTTACAAATCTTTATCTTCATAAACCAAATTTAATAGAAGATAGAGTTATCAAAGCATTTAGTATATGTATTTTGAAATTAGTGGATATCATCAGAGAATTTATTAATAAAGCTGGTGTTTTTGAAGAGGTGATTATTTTCAATGCATTTATTTATTAATAAAATATTTTGCTACTATAATTTATTCTAATTCTCTCATTGTAAGTTTACAAGATATGATTTAAATACTTTTGCATGTACATATTTTTTTCTTTCTTTGAAAATTATGTACATAAATAAATTATATTTTTAACATATTCAATTAGTATTGATTATTTGGTTTGTTTTCTGTTTGAATTATCCTGAAGATAGCTCTTTGTAAATGAAAATTTTTACTATGTTTGCCTATAATTTTTTCTACTAAAGCAACTTTGGAATTTGAAAATTTATTGCTTTTTACTATACTTTTGATCATACAGATTATACAAGTGCAAAAATTGAATTAACAGAATTAATAAATATATTTGTTATATACTAAATTTGTTAATACTAACAAATTTTTGAACAGAAAGCTCTTAATTTAAATAAATTAATAAATTAGAAGCTAATTAAAAGTATTCCTACAAAATAATTTATTAACTTTTTTCAAAAGTATACTTTGAATATGTTAAAAATATTATTTATGTACAAAATTGATATTTTGATCAGTATTTTCCTTTATATATTATAAACTATATCTTGACTGTGATTTGATCAAATACTGTAATAGTAATAAATCTTTATTCCATTTAAGTTAGTTATGTTAATAGAATAATAAAGATCTCTATATTTAAAAATGAGATATATAAGTAATAATTCTAAAAATTAACTCTCTGAAACCTTGCACAAATTTTTGGTTTTTATTTTAAATCATTTACAATTACTTTACTACATACAACTCTATATTAGATTTTATTTCACAAATTTTTAATAAAATCTATGAAATAAAAAGTTACATTTATTTCACATTTTTTAAAAACTGATTCAAAATTATTGATCAGTAAACTTTTTAAAATCTTCTGATTGCAATATTTCATTTAAATGAATTGTGTATTTTAAAATTAGGAAGATTTTCAACCTGTTATTTATGGATATAAATTAGCAAATGATATCACTGATATTCGAGCAGCCGGTATGATGAGAGAAGTTGAAGAAGAACTTCAGCGGAAAGTTAAAGTATTTTATATTTTTAAAATATTTGTAAATTAGATTACTGTTACTATATTCATCATCTAATAATAAAAATATGTTTATTTTCAATCAGATGACTCGTAGTAAACCAGGAGAGCAACAGGATGTTACCACTCAAACTGAAGTGAGTAAATTTGAAGATTATTAAATAAGATAAAATTTTTAAAATTTGAATTATGATTTATTTTGCTATAAACTAAAAAACTTAAAATTTTTGTATGTAAAGTTTTCAGTTTCAAATAGCTTTTACTTTATAATTTTTGAAAGTAAATCAAACAAGAAAAATGTTAAATTTTCTTCATATTTCTTGTAATTTATGAAATAACCTTAAAATATATATGGAAATTATAGTATCTTTTTAATTACTTTGAATGACTATTTCAAAAATATTTCAAAATGATCACAACAAATACAAACCATATTTATTATTGTGATATTGCAAATATTAATAAAAAAATATATTGTATTGGAAGACAATGTCAGGATCAGAAATACTAATGTAAATGAAATATTGCCTTTTCTTTAAGCTTTTTTTTTTACTTTTAAAAGAAATGGTATTTTAGGATGAACCTGTTGATGTTTTTGTAAAAATGACTTGAACATTACTAGGTACAGTACCTCAGCTAAGGTACTGCACTTTTAATCAGTACCTGGGTGCTAATTGAAAATATTTCCATTGATAAATCTTGCCTTTTATTTCTTTATAAGTTAGCTAAGTGTTGTTGACTGCAAGCTTTCACAGAAACAAATAATTATTAAGTCAATAAGTTCAGAACCATTTTCAAACAAAAATGAGTACTTCTGTTCTAAATGTGCTTTCATATATGATATTTTTTAATGAGATTTGACAGATGAGTAGTAATGTGTTAAATTCTGTAAACTGACTGGAGAATTTAAGATGTTTAAGTTTGAAATATTTTGTTAAAAAAATTTATTGTTGTTTTTTTTTTCTGAAATAAATGTAAATTTGATTCTTTAACACTCCCATTAATATTAAACATATTCATTTGTAATAGCTTATTTGTTTCTACTATTATAAGTTTTTTCAGAGTAATTACAAGATAAAGGGTACTTCAGTCTGATTTATGTACATTTGCATTAGTGCAAAGATGTTGATTTAAATAAATTAAAGAGACTAATTTTCTAAAAAAAAAAATAAGCGATGTAATAATCTCTAATAGCAACGTTTTTTTTTGTAATCTTTCACAAGTTTTTACAAATCTTAATTCAATGAATAATTCATTTTATTTTGTATTTTGTTTTAGCATGAATCAGCATTAGCATTATTTTCTAGAATAAAGTTCTGTCGACTTTATTATCATGCTCTTCTACTGTTTAACAAGAAAAAGGTACAATTGTTTTTTATTTTTAAATTTACTGAATTTCATAAATTTCAAAATTATATTATATATATAAAATATTTAAATTTTTCTGTAATACAATAATTAAAAAAATTAATAAATTTTTTAAGTTTTAAAATTTATAAAGTTTTTAAGTAAATTATAATGAAATATATAAATTTTTCCAGTTTCTTTACATACATTGTATAATATTTTCAAATTTATATTATTAGATGTAAATAAGGAAAGTTTATATTTTAAGAAATGTTTATTTTCAGAGAAATTTTTCTTATAAATATATAATTCATTATTTTAAAATTTGTAAATATCCTAATTAAAAATTAATTTTTAGTGTTCAGGAATTGAAGAAATAGATCGTCACTTACAGCAGTGTGGTGAATTAATGCCAACCTTACAAAGGACTGTTGACTTAGGAATTCATCCTGATCCAAATGCTGAAAGTATTAATAGAGGTATTTAAATTTTGTATTAATTTATGACAAAATACGGATAATTTAAATTATAATTATAATCATTTCAATTTATTTTATATGTTTTTTTAATATTTGTATTGGAATAATTTAGAGAACATCTGTGCAAATTAGCTTAATTCCCTACTTCCACTTTTATTAGTGGAATTTTTAATTTTTTATTAATGTGCTTCAAAAAGTTTACATGAATAAGATTATTTGTTTTAGATTTTGCAATAAGTACTAAAGCAGTGATTTCCAATTAGTTTTCCCTGTGTACCACTTCAAGAAAGAGCTCAAACTCGCCTACCCCTTATAGCAGAAATTCATATTAATCCATACTAATATTATAAATTCAAAGGTAATTCTGTCTGTCTCTCTGTTACCTTTTCACATTTAAACCGCTGAACTGGTTTTAATAAAATTTGGCACAGATATAGCTTACATGTTGGAGATGGACATAGGCTACATTTTACTGCAAGAAAATATCTTACTCCCACGAGAAAATTCGATATAATGTGAACGAAGCTGTGGGTAGACAGCTAGTGATAAATAGAATAAGATTTTTTTTACATTTATTACCTTTAAAATACAATTCTAATAATAATGAAAATAACATAAGGTTATTTAATTTTAATGTGACAAATGTGCATGATTTTCTTTGCACAACTTTGTAAACTCTGGTTGCTTTTTGGTCAGCTTCAGTCTCAAGTCATCTTCGAGTTGAAGTCGGTGACAATGTTTAGTTTTCATGTTTGTCATGGCCGAAAATTCGTTTTCGCATAGGTATGTTGTGGGAGCTGGTAGTAAATATTTTATTGCCGCTTCGCTGACATGATAATAATGATAATTGTACAATTAACACAAATTGTGTTAATTGTACAATTTTTGTTTTTTGCCTAAGAATTTCATTTAGATATTGTCACAAATGCATTTTTTGATGAAATTTTGAGAATATTTTTAGTTATAAATAAACAAATTTGTGCATTCGACATCATGCTGTTAGCATGCCAAATTTTTGATGGTTCACCCATTGTTTGTTTGATTGCTTCATCTCATGCATTTAAATTTTAAATTGACTGATTTTAGATTGCCGTGCGTACCTCTTCATGCAATTTTGCGTACCCCCAAAGGTACGCATACCACTAATTGGGAACCATGGTACTAAAGAATAGCATTTGTTGTAGCAGGAGTTTGGATGCTGGGGTGTAGCTGTAATTCATCAATGGTATTGATTATTATTTAGGAAATGTATTATTAGGAAATGATTTGAATTATCTGAAATTATATTAAGCATCAGTGAAATGAAAATTACATAAAGAAACGGAAATATGATTATGTAATGACAATGATTATGTAAATGATTTCGTTTAATGTTACTTATTATATCTATCTTCTAATGTACTTCATTAAAAGCAAATAAGGAAAAGCTTTATAGTGTTCAGAAAGTAAATTATAGTGATACTGTGGTATTCAAACTTAACTCAAACCAGAAGTTGTTTGAGTACCAAATGAACTTTTCCCATAAGGAATAATGTAAATTAAAATAATCTGTTCTAGACCACGAAAAATAAACTTATAAAAGCATTTTAACTAGAATTTAACACAAATTTAAAAGTTTATAAGCCTAGTATGCATAAATCATTAAGAAAAAATCCATATGCAATACAGAGTGGCAAAGTATCCCTGTTAATTTTATTGTTTTGATTGGAAAGTTTTTGCATACTTTTAACAGCTGTCATTACTTAACACAGATGTGTAATGTAATTATAATAATTGTGAAATTTAGTACATTATTGCTAATGTGAAATTGTATTCTTTGTTTAGAAGCTTATTTTAAACTTTTACCCATGTTTTGTTTGAGTAAAATCAAGTTGAAATGTCTGCAGATAAAATGCATATCCAGAATATTAAGCTTTTTGAATTTTTAAAATGATACAACACAGTACAAACAGTAAAAAAGATTTATAATGTATATGGGGAAGATGCATCTAAACTTCAAACATGTCAAATGTGGTTTAAATGTGGTTCTATTTAGGAAATTTTGAACTAAAGGATACAAAACATATAGAGTGCCCAAAACCTGTTGAAAAATTACAAGAAGAAATTGTTAAAAAAACAAATGTTAACTTGTTGGATGGTGACTCAATAATATGTATAATATAATCAGTGGAAAAGCAATTATCATTAGAATCAGTGCCTGCTATTATTACTTTTAAAATGAAATTAACCTCATTTGCTTATTTTACTTTATAACCTTCAAAGAAATTTTCAGTTTTTAGCAGATTTGTCATTTAACAAATTATTATTAAAACACTAAATTGGTTTTTTTAAATCTCTATACTTGAACAACATTTAAAGAAAAAAAATACATATTTTTAATTGATATTCTATTATCTCTATTTTTCTCTATTATCTTCTATTATCTCTATTCTATTTATCTGATATTCTATTTTAAAAAAATTGTCATTTTAAAAAAGATCTTACTTCATTAAAGGTTAACTGAATGAAATATACTAATATTTCTTTCTTTCCAAACCACTCAGAGATGGAGAAACACCTACACTATATTATCCAAATGTTAAAAATGAAAAAAAGACAAGTATTTGATGAATCAACATATACTGTTATATTCCTGAGGTGTAAAAAAAGGAACAGAATGTGAAGACATTTTAATATATTGGCTTTTCAAGAAAAAGTTTTTTTTTGTGAATTTTTAAGTACCGTTGAACACAGATATAACAAGTTCGTGGTTATAACAAGCAAAATGCCATAACAATTTTAATTTATGCATATTTCCATACATTTTCTCAGTTATAACCAATGTACTCCACATATATACTGAGCATTTTGGTAGCTATGCAAATACATGAACATTCTTAATTGTTCAAGTAGTAAGAAACATAATACCAAATTTGTGGACAAAACAAAATTGAAAGGGTTACTTAGTTTTATGACCACTGGATAATTAGTTTTGCAACCTACATCAATTTTATCACTGAACTTTTTTTTGAAGAACATCCACCTCTTTCTTGACTAGCTTCTGGTTCTTCTTTACCTAATTGTCACTATAATTGTAAAATTACTGTATACTCTAGTTAGAAACAAACCCTTCTATGAGAAACATGTCTACAAAGAAAAGAAAATTTCTCTTGATTTATGAAAAAGTGGAAATTATTTATGATGCTAAAATCATCAAAGTCTGTAGAAAGTTTTCTTTGTCATCTTTAACTGTATCAACAATATTGAAAAATAAAGCAATTATTAATTTTAAGTTTTCTAGATAAAAAGACTAATTGAAATCAGGCATATTATTAATTAATATTATCTTTGATTACGAAAAGTAAATTGTTTAATATTAATTATATTGTATTTAAATTTTTTTAATCAACTTATTTAGAATAAAAAAGTAAAAGATAGATTTTACTTTTACACCCTGCAGGTGGCAAAATCTTTAGCTATGCCACTTACGATTAGTAAAATCATAAGTGGCATAACTACAGATTTTACCATCTGCAGGGCACCTCTACATGTTTGTGCCCAAAGCAGCCACCCATTAGTTATGTCACTGCTCTTCACAGATATGATGAGTAATTGTTATAACAAGGAAATCTTGTCAGCCCCCATAATGCTCATTATAACAGAGTTCAACTGTATTTACTTATCATCCTGGCAATAATAATAACAAATTTTTCAATTTATCTAATGTATCAGATGTCTGTGATTTTAATGGTTTTAAACAAAGGCAACATTGAAAGTATGTAACTCTTACACCATCTTTAGGATTATCATATCAAATATTATGATCTATATAAGAAAGTGTACAAAGTACTATCCAGAATTTGAAATTGTTATCTATTTTTTATACACATTTATCAGGCATAGATATTCTTATTTATTCTGATATAAATGACAAAGTAAACAGCAACTTAATTTGGTCACATTTTATCTTTATTGTAAATATAATAAAGCATCAAACAGATTTATAGATTTTCATCATTGTGATTCAATTTTAAAATACCTTTATTTCAATCAGCTATATTTTGTTTACTTTATTGAATATTCCCAAAAATCTGAATTTTTTGTTTGTATGAGAATTCTAAAAATAACAAATTAGAAATATTCTTCAATTAATGAACAGTTTTTCTGATTTATTATTGAAAATTCAGTAATAGTATTTCTCATCTATTGAAAAAATTGGAAAATATTACAAAAAGTAAAACAGTTTCTCTTGTGTTCTTATTTTTCCTTTAGTTAAATGTTATAAAAAAAAGAAGGCTAATAACACTGGAAAGACATTTTTCAATCTATTTTTTTGTTTTCTGTTGTCAAATTTATAAGAATCAATTTTTGAAGTTTTTCAGTTCCTATTTTAATTCCACTTTAGTATCAAACTTTTCATCAGAATTTATACTTTAGATTCCTGGAAATAAAGTAGCACTAGCCTGAATTATCTCCTATTAATGTCAATTAAATTAGCTATAAATGGTGGATTTGTTTACTCATTATTTGTGTGCAATATGAATAAACAAAATTATTTTTTCTTTTAAGATAAAATTTTTATGTAATTAAAAATTCAGATAAGTTTTTGTGTATATACAGTATAGTAATATATACATAAAATGTATTTATCTAGCTGATTATCCAACAATAATGGGGTTTGAGCCATTAACTAATCAACGGCTTCTTCCTCCTACATTTCCTCGTTATACAAAAATTAAAGGTAGACACGAAGCTATGGAATATTTAGACATGCTAGTAACAAGATTAAGAACAGTTTGTCGAATAGTAGAATGTACTTCATTTCATTCTGCTGTTGTAAGTACACAGATTTTTTTTAAAAATAATTCTTTGGTTNTATATCTTATATAATTATATAAGAATGATGATAAAATAAGTTTTGAGTCTTTATTTTCAACTCTAAGTTTAAACTAACATTAAAATTAAATGTAACTGAATTTATAAAATATTAAAATGAAAATATATGAGTTTAATAGATTTTTAATTTAGTTATTTGCCTTATTTATAATCTTATTTAATTCTGATTAAAATTATTAAAATAAAATAAGATGAAGGAAATGTTGCTATATTTTTAGTCTCTTTTCAGATATAAAGTATTATTATTAAGCAATTACGTTACACAATAAAAAATAATTAAAAGAATATTTATATAAAACCATAATGTTTTATTATTCTATATCGAATTTTTATAGAAAACATAAAAATTGGTTTTTTGAAAATATTTCCTACATATTATATTTAAATTTTTGAAAACTTATTTTATAATTTAAAAAGTATATTTTAATTAAAACTTCTAGATACAAGATACACTAATGTTGTTCAAAAGCAAAGCTGAACAATAATGAAAGACACAAAAATTCATGTTTTTATTATGGGAGAAATTTTATCACATTAAAAATGGAAGCTATAAAATTATTGAATTATTTTCTTTGAAAATCAGTTTATATATTTTGAATAAAAAGTTTATTTAGCTAATTGAAAAAATTATATATATATAGATAATGTTTTAGTATTTAGTAAGTTGCTTTTTCACATTTTTAATAGTGTTATTTAAATTACTATGATTTCACGTAGATAACTTGTGTTGATAACCTGAACCAGTATTTACTCTACAAAAATTGCTAGAACAAAAATGAAACATTCACATAACCAACGCCACTTTGTCCTACATCTTTGAAGTGATCAATAAAATGTTAACTTAGAAGGTGTATATTTTTTAGAAAGTTTCGAGACTTGAGAGGAAAAATGAAATATTTGTTAGATTTTCCTCTCATTTCTTTCATTTTATTTCCATTAGCAGTTTATTATGGATATACTGTAATTATAAGTGAAATAAGACAAATAGAAAAACTGAAATATTTGAGATGATACCTTATGTGTCGGAAATACAAATGGCCTCTGAGTGTTCAGCTTATTATTGTTTTGCTTTATTTCTGTTTTATTTATCAAACAATATTAATAAAATATACAATAATAATAGTAATAGTAAATACTAAAATAATTTTGAAAATTTAAACCAAAAAAATTGTAATGTCAGTAATATCCAAAGATGGATTTCAGAGTTAATCATTTAGCTTTTATTCACTGTAGAGAATTATCATAAGATAAATATTATTGGTTTCTAAGTAGTTCTCTGAGAATCATTTTATAGAAGCAGGGAATTACTAAAACTACTTTTAAATGCAAATAACAAGCAGATTCATCCAGACAAAATTATTTTATCTTTTATAAAAAGTTGAAATTTGATATAATAATGCTATAGACACCTAATAGAGATATGTCCTTATAATATAAATTACAATATTTAATTTAAATGTAGAATATTTTAATTTATAGAAGTTAGTAATATTGATTAGCGATGAAATCAAAGAAATATTTATTGTAGTTTTTATAGAATATAGATTATGGATAACTTTAGAATAGTTTATAGTTTGAAGATTATGAATTGAAATGCTTATTTTTGTTTTTAAAGGATTTTTTGACTGAATTTAGCAAGTCATCCCCATGTGTATTATCTAGATCAATTGTGCAGGTAAATGAAATGAAATTTTTTATTCAAGAATCAAATTCAAGAATGTTTTGTTTTTTTATTTTTATGGAATTTTTAAAATCAAAATATTTTTATAATAATTATTTAAACTATGAAAAGGTCTTGTCTTTGTCAACTTAATGAGCACACACAAATCAAATATATTTCAATAGCAACTAATATATAAGAATGAGATATTTAGGAAAATATTATTTAAATCTTTTAATTCAATGTAGATTCATTACTTCTGTAGAAATTATAAACTTTATTAAGTTGAACATTTTTAAAAAAACATTATTTTTCAGCATATTTCAATTGTGTTTAACTTAACAAAGTGTTTAATTTATGTAAAATGCTACGATTCATTGAATTAGATAAATAAATTTATCAAAATATTTTGTTTTACTTTATTTTAATTTATTCTTAACAGTCATTTAGCTATATTGTTATTAAAATCTTTAATTTATTTTTCTTCTGAAAAGATTTTTAAAATTTATTAGCAATTGTTAATTCTTATGTAACATAATAGATTCGAAAACTTATTTGAAGTTACAAATGAATCTAATAATTAATTCTAATAAATCTTCTAATTAAGCTTCTATGATAAGTAAATTACATATTGACATTTCTAAAAGAAATAACACACAAAAAAAGTAGTGTGTATTGAAAACATTTAGAAATTTTTTATGTCCAATAGATTCAATATTATTTTTCAATATAGGAGAGTAAATTTGAATGCTTGATCACTAAAACTTATTTATATAGTAAAATGAATAGAAAATAATATGTTTATTATATATTATTAATAATATAATAATATATTTCATTAACGCATACTTTCTTATATTTTTGTTACAAAAAAGGATGAGTTTTAACATTGAATTAAGAAAACCAGTTTTTTAGATTTACAAATATTGCTTTATTTTAATGTTTAGATCATTTCTAATATTTCTTTGAATGGTTGTTTCTTTTTTAACATTTAAATTCTTAAATTATATTGATGATAATGTATAATTTTAAATTTTATTGAAACACTGAAGCTGTTGTACCTAACACAACCAAATAAGGTGCTTGGATCACAGCCTATGGTTGAAGTTTTGAGAGATGCTGTTCGCAGCTTTATAAAACCTCCTGCTCTACTTCCAAGGTAAAAAAGTCACCTTACTTTACATGATTTTATTTCATGTGATTCATTCTTGGAAATAATTAATCATGTAATGTGTGGGATATACTTGTATTAATTTCTAAATGTTTTTTTTTTAATTTGATACATGCTCTATGTTAATTTATGTAATGAAATTATCTAATGTTTAAAAAATTTATTAAATATATTTTATGAAATATTTATAATGCAGATTCATTAATCTAGGTCACCTCTTATGAACAATTCCCAAGCTAAAGAATATGTAGAAGGTTTTCTTGGACACTGTGTTCGTCCATTTTGTAATTTACTTCAAATTTATGGACATAATAGAGCTAGACAGAGAGACAAACTAGCTCATTTATTAGAAGAATTAGCAGCATTGCAAGATGAAGTAAGATCCTGTCTTTTAATCTTTGTTAAAACAAAATTTTAAAATTAAACTAAATTATAAATCATTTTACACTCATAAACACTTATAAAATATATGATTTAGTAATATATTTTATAAAATAAACAAACTGATTTTTATTTTATGTGAAATTTCAATAATACTATAGGATTATAGAATATAAATTTCAATAATACTATAGCTTTAGGAATTCATTTATTTTGTAAATTAAATTTAACATTGCTTATATATAGATTTGTAGATGGTTATATATTTAATTTACAGAATTAATTATGTTGTTTATTGTGCATATTTTTTATTCTAAATAAATTAGCAAAAATATTATCTATTTAATGAATACAAATTAGAATTGAAAAATTTATTGAAAATAAAAGATTTGGGAATTCGGTTCCAGGAATTCAGTCATATACATTTAAAAGAAAGCTTCTACAAATGAAAAGTGTTAACTTTATGACTCCAATTGCATACTAAAATGAAAAAATTATTTTGAAAACATTCAAATTAATCTCAATTAGTTGATACTTTTGTTATTGAACTTGTTGGAAAACAATTTGTCACATTGTATATCTAATATCTCCTTTATCCTCAAATTGCTTTTTTTTTTTTTTTTTTAATCATCATTTCTGATTCTGGATTTTTGGAATCTTTAAATTGATAAATCAGAAATATGTTTCTGAATAAGAATAGCTTCCTTTTTCAAAGAAACTTACACTTTATTTGGTAAATTCTTTTAACCAAATAACTCCTAAACTATACAAATAGCTTAATTGGACTAATTTATTGTTTAACTTAACAAATTCTTAATAAACAGTTTTGGTTACTTATAAAATTTGATATGGATGATCAATAACAATTTATTTATCATATTTGAGAACTTGAAAGTTTTGCAAACCAAAGTACACAAGCAACAAAGAACATCATCATACTTTTATTAATATATAGGGTTAGATCCATTTTTATTTAAGCTTACATTAAAACTGAATATATATTTACATGAATAATAATGTTCCAAGGATTAATTTACTTATTCAAATAATTATGATCATACAAATAATTGAGAGTCATTTTAAAGTCTTTATCCTTTTTCAACATTCCAACCAGCTACAGATGTTTAACAACATGAAGATACAAACAGCTCTTTGTTAAAAACTGATGATATATTAAAAAACACATATATGCTATACATTTGACATCAATCTTTTCTTTGAGGATCTGATGATAAAATGATCCATAATTATTTGAATGAATATATATTATTTGTTTTATGACTAAAAACAATAACACAGTAGTTTTCAAATACAAAATTCTTAAGTGTGTGCATGCAACTGTGTGAAAAATACTGTAAATACGTAAATATGCTCATTTATATATGTATTTTACATAGAAAAGAGCAATTGAATTGTTCTAATAAAAATGAATTTTATTAATTTATGCTTTTTTTCCTTTGTAATGTATTCCATCCTGGAACATAATTGTTAAGTCTTGCAATTATTTTTAGTAATTATGAAGATGTTGATATTTTTATTGTCCATTTTTCATTAAGTTTTGTTTTATACATAGGCTGACAAGGTAGATGCATATTTACATAATTTATCTGCAAAAACTGATAATCCTTGTCCACATCTAGCTTGTTTTGGAACATGGATTCTGTATCATACATTAAGAGTTATGATACAATATATATTATCAGGATTTGAGTTAGAGTTATATTCTGTTCATGAATATACATATATCTTTTGGTAAGTTATTTATTGATTTTAATAATTTGATTATCAAATGTACAATTATCAATTATATCAATAAAATTAACAACACACAGTAGTATTAACTCTAATTAATTATCAACAAATATAAGGTAATTTTGTTTCTTTCATAAAATATATATATATATTTGCTGCATGCATTTACAGGATTTAACAATAAGATTGAAATAAATTTTGAAGAGCTAGAGGAAAAATTCATCAAACATATAAAGTAAATTAAAGAGTTAATAATTTTATAATTAAATATACATAAATTTAAATATCATAAATTCTTTAAATTGTAAAATAACTGTGCAAAATATGTAAAAATATCATCAATCTCAATGTTAAGAATTTGTTTTCTCGAATTTATAACAATTGAATGTTATAAAATTTCTAGAAAACATTATAAAAGTGAAAAAATATTTTAAAAAATTGTTTAAGAAGAAATTTAGTTGCTACATTGTTAAAGCAACAAGTTACAGTTAGCAGAAAAATGTTAAGAAAAAACAAAATTGTTATATAACAGATTTATTTAATTTCATATACAGTATATGGAAAACATGTTAGGTTTAGAGTCATAGAATTAAAGAATAAAACAAAGCATTATGTTGATTAATAATTTTGTACTCTTGCATATTTATAGTTTCATTCCTAACTAATCTCAAACATGCCATTTCTTTTAAATCTATATAAATATAATAAATATAATTAAGTTGAAATTTAATGAAAATATATCATTAGACAATAATATTGAATTTTAGTCAAATGTTTCAAATTAACTTTATATATTTCATATTTAAAATTTAATAACAAAATTTTAAATAAATTTAATCAAAATTAAGTTTTAATTAAAATAAATTTTTAAAAAGTGTAATTAATATAATTAATGACATATTAAATATATTTGCATGTGTGTTTTTCTTTTCAATAAAAATTAATATTAAAATAGTTTACTTGTTATTTGATATGAATTAGATAAATATAATAACTGAACATAATCCAGATCTTTAAATTAAAATGATTTTTATTAAATATTAGGTATTTATATGAATTTCTCTATGGTTGGATGGTTTCAGCATTATCTCGTGCTGATAGTTTTTTGATGGAACAAGACTCTAGAGCAGGTATATTACATGTTATTTAATTTTTATATAATTTATAGAATCAAAATTGATAATTAAAGTCTGGAAATTATCCAGTATTTTAAGAAATCAGTTAGTTGTATTAATTATTAATTTAGTTTTTATTCTGTATTATTAATTAAAATGGCTAAAGGTGAAGATGGAAGATTTTACTTTTGATGTATCTATAATATTTTTGCTTTATTATATATTGTGTAATCTGCATTTGTTTAGCATGGTGATGTCAAACAAATGCTGATTATTGCCTTCTGACTATTGAACCATTGACATTTGCAACAGCAGGATGACTTTTGTCTACCTATGAATGCCTTAACAAGTACTTTGCAAATGGGATCTTCAACCTTTGTTGTTGTGTTGTGGGCACTTTTAAAGTAATAGAGTAACAGTATGCAAATGTGTTATTTCAAAAGTTTCATATTATTAGACATTGCTGATTCATCTATTTCCAATGAAATATGTGATAAAATATTCCATGGTTACTCTACTTGTATACCCACATCGAACGTTCTAGAACATTTTTTTCCAGTGGTTTCTCGAAAAAAATTTATGTCTAAATTTTACCTTTACAACCTGATGTAAAGAAACTAGAAACCTTAATATGCTTCTAAACTTAATTTTTGCAATTATTTTTAAAAGCCATCTTCAGATTTTTATTCAAGAAGAAAGTCAGAAAAAAATTAAAATATTTAAAAAGAACATTACTAAATGAAAAATTAATATCCTATTAATTAAGTTACAGTAGAGCATCAATTATCCAACTCAATTGGGGTCTAGGATTGGTCGGATAACTGAAAAAACTGATAACCAAAAAGTATGAAAAATACATTATTAGTATAATATATTAGTATATCCCATGTAATTAGTATATTGGTATATCGCTATTAACCTACTTTACGTTGAATTTTCTTCGATGTTAAGCCTAACAAAATTTTTTAAATAATAATAGTCGCTATTGTATCGTTAAAAATTATTTTTAAATTATTTTATTTCTCACAAAACAAACAACTACTCTTAATTAGAAAATTAAGCCTTGTTTAAATACTGGCCTCCCTTTCATGGTCAAGCCAGTGTTGCCAGCTAAAACACGCAAAAATTTTTAAAAAATAATATTGAAGTAGCCAAGACATAGCCAAATACTGTAGCGCCACATCACTAGCGGACATTTGAATTTGCCAACTAGAATGCAGTCGGTTAACCGATGTGACGGTTGATTTGGGGTCGGATAATCAATGTTATACTGTATTTACGTTTTTAATGAAGAGAATTTGAATACTAATTTATAAAATAGGTTTTTATGTATATTTGCAAAAACCTGTATATCACAGATAAAATCTCACTTTTTTTAGCATTAATACATTCATTTTTATCATTAATTCCAAAATCTCAAGAATGGAGTTTGGATAGATGAAAGATGAGACCAGGTATGGAAACCTTAGAGTAGGACGCTCTGATTAACTATATAAGAACTTCTGATGCAAATAGAAAGTCACATTATTTCAATTCAAAACTTTCCCCTGAAAGCAGTTAATAGATGACCAGTACAACTCTATTCTTAAAGGAAAGATGTACAGGGGCAAGACACTACTAATTTGTGGTGGAGAGCATATATTTTGAGTTAAAGAAACTAAAAATATGAAGAGCAATTATTTATTGTGACATCATTCCAATGCCAGGCTGCAATTTTTAATCATATTTTTTAAAATTTAATTTTTTAAATTTAAAATATATGCTCTCCGCCTCAAATTAATAGTGGCTTTCCCCTGTACATTATACTTTTCCTTTAACAATAGAGTTGTGCTGGTCATCTATCTAACATCTTTCAGGGAAAAATTTTTAATTGAAATAACATGACTTCTGGTTTGCATCAGAAGTTCTTATATAGTTAATTGGGGTCTCTTACCCCTAACTTTCCATATCTGGTCTCATCTTTCAGCTATCCAACTCCATTCTCGAGATTAAGGAAAGATGGACAAACAGACAATAGTGGGAATTTATAGGTCTTTAATGTTTTAAACTTGCAGCCCAATTATGAAGGTTTTTACATATTGAGCTTGATTATTTTAAGTTAGTTTAAAACCTGTACTTAATAAGAGATCTTTGCATATAATAACAACAATTTTTCTTTTAATAGACAGACTTATTTCTTTTAAATGATATAAGGGGTGTTCAAATGAAAGTGATTCGAGGTGTGTATCCATGAGATGCAGAGAGACAGAAATGAGACAGATACATAGATAGAAAAAACAATATTTAATGAGTGAAATGCATACAAAGTTTGTTAAAAGAAATCACCCATGGCATTTAGGCAGGTGTCCTATTGCTTAGGAAGGTTACGAATTCCATCCGCGAAGAACAATGTCAGTTGATTATGGAATTAGTTCAGAACTTCTTTGGACTGCAGAAGTTTCTTCAGCGGTCCAAAGATGTGATAGTCGCAAGGCAACAGATCTGGACTGTAAGCTGGATGTTCCAAGACTTCCCACTTTTTATGGGCCAGTGCCTCGACACATACCTTGGCAACATGTGGCCTTGCATTGTCGTGCAGAATGATGACACCTGATGATAGCATATGAGGACATTTGCTTTTGATAGCCTTATGCAGCTTATGAAGTGTTTGGGTGTACTGTTGGACATTGATGGAGACATTCAGCTCCTTGAACTCCAGTAATAGGGGTCCCTGCATGTGAAAAAATGCTGTCAACATCACCTTTCCACCTGGCTGCTGAGTTTTGAATTTTTTGGGCCTAATTGAGCTGGGATGTTTCCATTGCATGCTGGTGGACTTCCCTTCCAGTTGGAAGTGGTGACACCAGGTTTCATCTCCTGCCACTATGTGCTGCAGAAAGTCATCACCGTCATCTCTATAGTGCAACAAATGCTGTACCCATTGGCAACAAACTTTTCAATACTTCAGAATGTCAGTGACAATATTGTGAACAGTACCAATGGAAATGTTTAACTCATTTGTGACATCACGAATGTTTCGACGTCGATTTCCCTTGATTGCAGTGTCAATGTCCGTAATCAGCTTCTCTGTCACAACTTTGTGCGCCTGACTGGGCTGCTGCAAATCCCTTGTCTCGTGTCGACCGTCACTAAACATTCTCGACCACCTCATCACTGTGGGCTTCGACATACACGTGTCACCGTACACAGCCAGCATTCTGCGATGAATATCCATCGGCTTACGCCCTTCCAGTGTTAAAAACTTAATTACAGCTCGCTGATCCGTTTTGGATGCAGTTGCATCCACACCAGCCATTTTGAAATGAATGTCATGTCCTTATGAATGAAGTTATCACAAATCTGGTTGTGCACGCGCATGCATGGTACATAAACCTTCACTATCGCATTTGTTTCACGAAAATACATTGAAAACTGTTTGCATGTGACACTTCAAATCGCTTTCATTTGAACACACCTTGTATTTGCAGTGCTTCAATAATTTACATATTATTGATGTAAATAAAAAATTTTAATTATGCTTACAGGATATGACAATATCAGCATTGATATACAGTATTTGATATTACAGGTGCATCAAATGTGTTATACAAGCTAATAATGTAAAAAATCATAATAATCAAAATTTGAGACATACAGAACTATTTAATACAGTGAATATTTTGTTACAACAGAATAATTTCTTTGAAAATAAAAAAATAACTACTGTATAAATGAAATAATCTTTATTGAAATTTTTAAATATTTCAGGAACATGATAGCAAATGTCATCATTTAATATTTAAAAATGAAAAACAAATGTAGGTGAAGCAAAATACACATTTAGTTATTTTCATTTTAAATTTAGTTTCAAGTGAAATATATATTATTGTTTTTATAATATAAGAGTTAATTTTTTAAAAATATATCACAATAACATTTCATTAATTACAAAAAATTTAATATCAAACAATGCTAAATTTTTAAATTTTTTTATATTAGAAAGACAGTTTAATTAATTAAAAGTGAGAGTTAAACTTGAATGATTAAGCCATATTTCTAAGCATCTAGAGTTTAGATTAGTTTTGGAGTCTAAATGAAATAATGTACTTGCCAAAATTATAAGAGTTGTGGCAAATGTAGCTTTAAATCAATATTTTCTTTAAACATTCTAAATTATTTATTACTCATTAATTAATTTTAGTTATAACATATTTGATATGCATTTAAAATTCATATCATTTTTATATTGCATTTAACAGCACAATATAAACATAGTACATCTGTAATTTTAATGTGTAACAACAAAATTTNGAGGAAAAATCTGATTAAAGTTCCAATACCCTGAAATTAATTTTAATTATTTAATTAAAATTTAGCTGCTGTTACGTCGAAAAATTTCGCTCTACTCAGGTCACATTAAAAAACAATCTCCTGTTTCCGCATTAGACACGTTTCCTTCTTATTCAGGTTTTCTCGTTCTTTTACGAGATTTATTTTTATTATTATTATTATTTTTAATGTATGGAGGGAAGTCCTCGTTTTGTAGAAAATTCCATTTTACAGAGGTTTTACTGTAATTATTATTAAATTTAAGTTTTTATTTTAAAATAATTTTTAAAAACTTTGTCAAGGTTTAATTAATCGTAAAGTATTCCCTACAAAAAAGGAATATTTCTCTATCAATTAATTTATATACAATGACACGAAAAATATATTTATATGCTGTTTTTATGTGGATTTATTAAAACAACAAAATTTTTCTCATAATTATAATTGTTTGTTTAGTTATGGCAACGCAACACTTGGGCGATCTGCCTAGGGGGATGCCTTCCGGGAGATCTTTTTAACGGAAACTGGCCCCTATTTAGGCGTTACAGACGTGGAGAAACCCGGAAAACTTCACGTGGCCAGCCCGTCCGGGCGAGGGGCAAACCCACGACCGAACTCCCAGTGTTCAGGGTACGAAGACCGATTGGACACTGATGGGCTAATTATAATTAAATTAAGCTTTTTTCTAAAAAAATAAATTCTATTTTATGTTTGAAACAATAAAAAATATCTAACAAATCTTAGAATATTCCCTGACTAAAAGGGATGTTTCCCTACAATTTCGTATAAAGCATATAAAAATTTTCCTGTGTTTTCCTTAAATAATAGTTTAAATAAGGAAAAATAGTTAAAAAATCGTAAAACATCATCCACAAAAAGAAATACTTTTTAACATTTTATGTGTGCTTTTAAATTTAAGTTACAGGGATATAAGTTATTCCTACAGATAAAAAAATTTTCCTGAAATNTTTTATTGACAAAAACTTGAATTATATATATTTACATGCAAGATGCATTTCAAACTTTATACTCCTTCAATTGTTTTATTAAACTCCAAGAGACCTTTATTAAAATTATTTGTATTTGACTCTTTAAAATTTATGTTAACATTCAAAGTGTTTTGGTATTTTCCTATCATACTGTCTCATATCCATTCAAGGTTTATGGTAACCACTTTGATGGTCCTTAGTGATTTTTGGCCATTCTCTTCCTATTGATGTATTTTAATATTGTAGAACCATATTGCAATAAGAGAAGATTTTAAAAAAGGATTTAGGTTTCTTAATCTTTACCTTGATGGTGATACAATACATTAACAGGACATGTTAAAACAATTATAAAATGTATAAATTGATGATTTGTTAATTATTATTATTATTATTATTATTAATTAATAGTAATTCATTCAGTGTTTCCTACTGTTTTTTGTAGTACTATCTGTAATAATAGTTAGCTTGTAATTGAAAAAAGAAATGTCAGTAATTTAGCTATTGTACTCTGAGCAAATAACAATAAAAACAATAATTGTTGTATGTTATCAACAACATGTTGAGGCTGATAGTGTGAAAAAAACAACTTAAAAATGCCTATTTACCTGAAGATAATGATAAGTATAATTGAAAAATTTGATTATAAAAGTAAAAGTTTTATAAATGCATTTTAACTTATCAGAATTAATGTATCCCTAATTGCTAAATGGCTTAATCACAGTAGCTGTGATTACACAATAAGCAGATTCTACTGTATATATTCATAAACATTCATCTACCATTTAATAATTGATATTTAACGGTTAAAAATAAGACATTCATTACAAATAAAAAAAACTTATTCTTATAGCAATATTAATCTTAATGTAACTAAAATGTATCTTTATTGAAATTATATTAATAATAATAGATTCAAAAACAAAACNTATTATTATTATAGAATATCAATGCTGACCTTAATATTAAACCAAGCATTAATCACCTACTAAAGCATTACTTCGGTAAGAGGCTAAATATTAATTTTAAAACTTGGCACTGTAAATGATTAATGCTTGATTTATTGTGTGAGTAAGAAATTACAAAATACATCACATTTTTATTGTCATTGTATAAGTATAAATGATTTTTTTTCCAAATTTTTTTTTTTGAAAAAACAAACTAATTTTGATTTTTCAAAAATAAATATTTGAAAAACTTATTTGCTTTTAATTTTTTAATTAATTTTTCTTTGTTTTTTCATTGTTAAAAACATTTCACTCTAATTCTGTGATTGTTGCATAGCCACAAAAGGTAAAAGCATTCCTTTACAGTTTAACTATATACAAAATGAAAAGCTGAAAACAATTTAATATTTAAGATAAATTAGTGTAAATGTAATAATGGATTCAATTATTATATTACATAACGTTTTTAAATTTACAAGATAGCAGCTATTGTTTTCAAATTGTTATGCTTTATAGTATAGGATATGCATTTGTATAGGATTTCACTATTACTTTTCATTTCTTTCTTGATCTTCCAAAATCAGACATAACATAGTTGTAATTACATTAAATTTAAAAATATAAGATTTAATTTAAAATTTGAAACTTTTCCAATATCTGTAAAACCTATCAATGAATTGAACAACAATTAAATATTTTTTTACATTAAAAATTTATAAAATTCATTGATACTAATAATACAGGTATACTTCGAGTTACGTCGTTTGTCAAAAAATATATGGAAAAATAAAAATCAAGTTTAAGTCATTTTATTCGACTTTATGTTTGTCCACCACAAATATTGAAGTCGTAATATCACTATAAAAGCATTAAAGCACATAAAATCATATTAAAACTAGCAGACCCCGCCGCGCGTTGTTGTGGCTCAAAATGTATCTATTATAAATTTATAACACTTCCCCGTGGGAGGGAATTTTTCGAGAAATTTCTTCTTAGTGTACATTCTGTTGACGTACCCTGTTAAAACGCAAAAAACCGCATCTAAAATAGTATAAATAGAAGCAGAGTTCTTTATGGTAAGCCTTAATCCTAACCATCTCCCTTCAGTGGGGGGAATTTCGACACATATATTATATAAAAACACGTGCGTATTTGAATGCAGCGTTGTGTCAAAATTTCAAAGGAATCGGTAGGAACAAACGAACATTACATTTTTATTTATATAGATAGATAGATGATGATCTGCTTTAGTTCATTTTCACAGAAAAGCATAATGCCTCACAGAAAAGCAAACTTAGGGTGTCGTACTCGTAGCGCCATCTGTTGGACATAAAAGACTTAACCTAGATTATATATTTTAATTTATATGAATGTTTAACGGAATAATATACAGCCTATGTCCACCCTGAGGTTCCATTCTAAATATTGGTGAAAGAATTTTTGAAATCGGATGAGTAGTTTCGGAGATTACCTGCTGCAAACAAACTTACATACATACATACATACATACATACATACATACATACATACATACATACATACATACATACATACATACATACATACATACATACATACATACATACATACATACATACATACATACATACATACATACATACATACATACATACATACATACATACATACATACATACATACATACATACATACATACATACATACATACATACATACATACATACATACATACATACATACATACATACATACATACATACATACATACATACATACATACATACATACATACATACATACATACATACATACATACATACATACATACATACATACATACATACATACATACATACATACATACATACATACATACATACATACATACATACATACATACATACATACATACATACATACATACATACATACATACATACATACATACATACATACATACATACATACATACATACATACATACATACATACATACATACATACATACATACATACATACATACATACATACATACATACATACATACATACAAACATTACCTCTTTATAATATTAGTATAGATAAACTAGATAAAAACACGTGCGTATTCAAATGCAGCGTTGTGTCAAAATTTCAAAGGAATCGGTAGGAACAAACGAACATTACATTTTTATTTATATAGATAGATAGAAGATGATCTGCTTTAGTTCATTTTCACAGAAAAGCATAATGCCTCACAGAAAAGCAAACTTAGGGCGTCGTACTCGTAGCGCCATCTGTTGGACATAAAAGCCTTAACCTAGATGATATATTTTAATTTATATGAATGTTTAACGGAATAATATACAGCCTATGTCCACCCTGAGGTTCCATTCTAAATATTGGTGAAAGAATTTTTGAAATCGGATGAGTAGTTTCGGAGATTATCTGCTGCAAACAAACTTACATACATACATACTTACAAACATTACCTCTTTATAATATTAGTATAGATATATATATATTTACAGTAAATGTTAATATAATCATCATAAATCCTAGAGAACGAAACATGAAAACATTGTGTTTCTGTGTTGTCTTCTTATTTAGCAATCTTTAAGTGCTCAATATTGGTGTTTTCCACATAGCTCCAATATCTACTGTTTGGCGTTGTTGTCAGTACCACTCAATATTGGTAAATTTAATATAAATTAGTTTATTTTCTACTGTCGAGAGATAATTTTAATAACTGTATTTGTTATTTAACCTTACAAAATCATCTTATTTTATAATGTCTTAGAGCAAACCACATTCACAAATAAAGAGTCTGCAATGTACTGTAAGCATCGCCAGATTGTAAACATATACATTTACATGTACTGTACGTACATGAATTTGAAATTTAGATTACTTGTTTTCTGTACTATATTAAAAACTAAAATTTATTTGTTTGTAAGCTTAAGATATATTCTTATTAGCCATATATTATTAAAAATGCATTTATCAATAAAATACAGAACTGGGAATGTTATTTGTGGTTTAGCCTAGTGACAGGTAAATTCGACTTACGTTGTTTTTCAACTTAAGTCGCCTTTCCTGGAACTAATTACTGACATAAAGTGAGGTATACCTATATAATCAAATTTCAAATAACATTTCAAAATATCTTTATGATGTAAAATATTTAAAGTAATACTGTAAGGTTTTTATAATATTGTTCAAATCTTTTTTCCTTATTTTCTAATTTACATTTGATATATTCAATTATGATGAAGATATTGTATATTTTTATGACTAGTAAATAATTAAATATGTTTACAAACAAAAATTTTTATATTTCATAAATAAATTTTTGATTTAGGCTGTAGCAGGATTTAGTTTAGAAGGAAAGTTAAAACAACCATCTGTTGAATTTGATAATGAGCAAGTAAGATACGAACATCGATTTGCTCCGTTCAACAGTGTTATAACACCACCACCAGTTCAGTATGCACAGTATTGTGAAATGACAGATTTAACTCATTATGTGCCATCACCAACTCCAGAAGATTTGTATATTGCTGCATGCAAATGTTTCCAGCATTCTCGAATGTTGTTTGAAAGTATTCCTGAACCAAATGATGAAGTAAGTATTTATTAATTTTTTTTTTGTAATATCCTACATGAAATCAAGAATGTAAAAAGTCAACCGAGTACCATTAAACAATATATATTTCAAAAATTTTAAGAACAGAATTTATTTGTATTTATTTGTTGACATCTGTTGTTGTTTGTAATCCTATGCATCAGATCTGTTGCATTATGTTGAAAATTTCTTTCATCTATTTATTTTTTGATCCATTATTCTATTGTTTTTTGAACTTACACAGAAAATTTAGTTTACTGTGTATAAACTTTATTGATATTTTTTATTATAAATATAAATATTATACATTAACTGTTTAGTTTTAATGAAACTTGCTAAATTATTTTTGTGTAAAATGTCAGTAAAATAATCATATTTTTTTACTATATTTTTCATTTTACATAATGCATAATGTTCAGTTTGAATATTGTATTAAACATTAAAATTTAAACTACAAATTGACATTTTATGATATCAAAATAGTATTATTATTTAGTTATAGAGATTCAGAATGTCAATAACAGCTGTATTATTTATAATGTTTTTTACATAGTTTAAAATTATCATCTCATATATTCAGTTTGAATTAATGACTCTGGTATAACTGACTTTTCTATCCTGCATTTAATAATTGATCACAGATTAATATTTAAAAGATATTCAAACAAAATGCACATTTCTGGAATAATTTAGGTCAAAGATTAATTATAGGAGTAAAATTGAGAGATTTTAATATACAACAAGGAGCATTAAAACATTTAGAAAAGTATTTTTATGATGCATGGATACAACATTGCTATCAGTAATAATTGGTTTCAAATATTTTCCTCTTATAGTAGAATTTGTAATGTCATTTTACTTAGTTTATCATTTATAAAAATCTGAGATTATCACTTATTTTATTTGCAGTTGCTATCAATCTCTCTTCATATTTTGTGGTTTTAATCATTACCAAGCAGTAATTGAGATGAAAATTGCTTCTTACTTACATATATATGTAGCTGCTAGTAATTATATTATCTATTCTACATTTACCAAGAAAGGATTGTGTCACTATTATTTTTAAATAAACTACTTTATTTGTTATTTAAAAAAAATTAATAGTTATTTTTAGGAGAAATAGATCTTAAGAACATAATAATCAAATTATTCTCTACTGGAATTATGTTTATTTTGGATGATCCTGAGAATTTCTTTCAATATGTTGTTAAGAAGAAAAATAGAAATAATTATTAATGCCTTACTGTCCATATTTAAATTTCTTATTATATATTTGTCAACGTGGATATTAATCATTAACAGGA